ATTGCTTACGTCAAGAGGGATGCCTTGATTTCTCTCGTCAGGACTTCAGTGGCTGTGTTTGGATTCATTGTGCTAGCTGGCCCAGGGGAAAACACGGGCGCCCCAGTCCAGGGACGTGTGGCAATGGGATCCTTTACAGTGACCCTGACTTGCCAAAGCATAATTTGGGTGATACCCTGGGCCATCTTTAGGCACAGCACGTAGTGTAGTCATTGTCCCTTTGCTGCCCCAGCTCAGTGGAGAAGGCCCAATCGCCAATCGTGTCAATACGGCAGGGACCCTCGGCAAGGGCCATTCATTTTAGTCTCTACTGTGAATCTGACCATGAAGGTTGGCTGCCTTACACACTCAAGTGTCACACACACACACACACACACACACACATTTTTTTGGCAAGGTCTTTTTCATGGCATGTGGGTGATTATGTGAGTGGAGCCCCATCCCATTTCAACTTCAACTGTCCTCACACTTCAATGACAAGCCAATTTCAAGTGAATATCATTTTCCCCCGCTTTGAGGAAGTCCACACCTACAAAAGAGGGAGGCTGCCAAGTTTCAAATCACAAGAATACCAGGTCCTCTGTGGGAAGCACACAAAGTCCATCTACTCTTCAAATAAAGTATGCTATCTCTGCCCTGGTCTGAAGCAGACCATGTTTTTTCCCTGAAGCACTTTCCTCAGGGAACTGCCCAGATAAATATTTTGTGGAAGCCTGACAAACCAGTATTCCCCCCAAACCCAGTAGACCCCCGAAATTCAAAGCAGGCAACCAGGACAAGTGAGATTGTGAGGTCAAACCCTCAACCAATGAGGAGTTGCCACGATATCAGGGTGAGGCCCATGGGGGCGAAAACGCCCAGCAGACTGCCCGCCACCCAGTGTGCTTACTGGTAACTCTGAATTCCACCAAGCAGCTTTCTGCAGAAGTCACATTTGCCTTGCTGAGAAACACTGAGTTAATCAAGTTTCAACTGGCGACCCCAACGTGCATTTCTAACACTGACGTGCAGCGATAAGCTACCGATAATCCATTTCCTCAGAGAAGCCCCACTGTCACCCTGATGTGGTGGGCACTCACAGAGCTTTCCTGCTCCTTGAACACGTCTCCTTGAGGACTCACAAGCCTCCAGTCAGTGTCTTTTTAGACAGTTTTCGGGGAGAAAAGATTTGGAGATGCACAGAGATTTCGGCCCCCTCGCCCTATGCCCCTGCCAATACCCTAGGTCCAGTAAGAGCTGGTTAGCACCTTCCCACTGGCCTTTCTGAGGGCCATGGCCCAGCGTGTTCGAGTCAAGGGAACTCCAGAGTGGAACAGGTGCGAAGGTGCAACTCAGAGAAGAACGCCAAAAGCCTCCAAGACGTTGATCTTCTCAAGGGTCTCCAATTGGCCCCTCACTGGCAGCTGGGAATGCCCCTTCCCCAAGTCTCAGGGAGATGGCCTCAACTGCCATTACACTCCCTGCCCCTCTACACTAAGGAGGCCTCCGATCCTCTGCACAACAGGGTACACTCAGATCAGCTCCCCACTCCTCTATGAGTTTGAAATGTGGAGTTACACAATAAGACCCTTTTCGTCATGTGCTGAAAGGCTACTTCATAGTCCCCCAATGT